AACCAATTTCTGTTGCTGTGCAGTCGATTGACTCATGGCGACCTTGTGTGTTGGATTAGAACTGTGCTGCAGAGGCGGGTGTGGGGGTTCATGTCTGAATTTTCAGAAGTAGATGTCCATCTTTTTAAAAAATCATTTTATTGGGGGCTCATACTACTCTTATCACAATCCATATGTACATCAATTGAGTAAAGCACATTTGCACATTCATTGCCCTCATCATTCTCAAAACATTTGCTCTCCATGTAAGATGTAAGCCCCTGGCATCCGCTCTTCATTTCCCCCCCATCTCCGCTCCACCCTCTCTCATGAACTCTTGCTAATTTATAAATTATTATTTTGTCATATCTTGCCCTGTCTGACATCTTCCTTCACCCACTTTTCTGTTGTCTGTCCCCCAGGGAGGAGGTTATATGTAGATCCTTGTAATTGGTTCCCCCTTTCCAACCCATTCTCCCTCCACCCTCCCAGTGGTCACTCGCCACTCTCACCACTGGTCCTGAAGGGATCATCTGCCCTGGATTCCCTGTGTTTCCAGTTCCTATCTGTACTAGTGTACATCCTCTGGTCTAGCCAGATTTGTAAGGTAGAATTGGGATCCTGATAGTGTGGGGGCAGGGGGGGAGCAGGTAGAGCTTCCCTGATGGGTTTTAAAGCACACATCTTTATTCTGCGGAACTGCTGGTGGGTTCAAATTGCTGACCTTATGGTTAGCAGTCCTCCCTGCAACCCACTATGCCAACAGGGCTCCACTCAGCCCTGCCCAGTTGCTGCTTATTTGAGGAGTAAATGGTGAGTTTAAGAGGCCTGAAGAATTAGCCTCTGTGAGCTGGTGAGTGATGTGAGCTCCTAGAAAACGCCTCCAGTGGCCCTTGATTCATGAAAGGTATGTTAAGCCACTGCTTCGGGGATCATCCTTTACTTTAGGGGTAGTGCAGTATCCGATGACGCCTCTGTTGTTATGAAACTTATATTCTAGTGGGATCCCGAGGAAGTCCAAGAATAATAGGTCAGGTCTTCACTGCAGAAAATAAAAGAAAAATATTTGTTTTTTGGACTTGTTTGTGTTTTCCTGTAGATTGGGGGGCATTGGCCATGTTTCATTTATCTGGTGACAGAACAAGATCTACAAATAATCATGGACTGGAAAAGCCTTACATGGACTCTTGTTATATGCTCCTTTTCTCTCATGAGGGAAGTGAAGGATCTACAGTGTTTGGGTCACTAAAACCCTTCATGTCTTCCAACAT